GGGGCTGCACACTGGTGGTGGTGGAGGGGATCCCCATTACCTGTAAAGCGCTTTGAGTGGAGTGTCCAGAAAAGCGCTATACAAGTGTAAGCATTTATTATTATTATTATTATTATTATTATTATTATTATTATTATTATTATTATGCATCCACAAGTAGAAAATGTATTCCACCTTGTTTCTGCTACTTACATTTCTACAGTATTGTTGCTATTTTTGGTTTTGTTTATACTTAAATTCTGCTGCCTCTAAAATTGTTCATCATACCTTTTTTTTGTAAATCACTTTCTGAATACATTATCATACATGATTTTTCAATAAACCATGTCAAATGAACACTGATATGCATTAACTTTATTGAATGCCATTTTAATAGTAAATTTTAGATGTCACACTGGCTTTTGTGAATTTTCTGTTGTCTTATACTTCTTCACAAGCTTCAACTCTAAGACATATTTTGTTAATTTAAAAAATTAAAATATTTTCCCAAATGCATGCATTTCCATTTCAAACGGTCAATTTCCCTGCCTACTTCTGCATACAATTTAGTTCAGAATTCATTACAAAATATTTCCACCCATAATATGCAAATTATGTTTTATTTCTGTTTTTAAATAGTATTTGTATACGCTTTTGCAGTAAACTGGAACAAATTAAATTTTTGTTCACTGTTGGATTTGGACACAAGGTCATCTTTGCATGCTTACAGGCCATATATAGGCTCATATTTTCAGATCTTAATTGAACTGATCTTTTGGTCCCATTGGAAAAAATATAAGGTCTTATCTTCAGTTTCTTCTAGGATAAATAGTTGTATTATGTACTTTTCAGTTGAATATGTCCCTTATATACTTCACTGGCAATGCTGCCAAGCTGTACTTTCAAGCAGCAGATTGTGCCACACTCTGACTAACATCCTCAAACAGAAATTTCAGCTCCACTCACTGAAATATTAATGCAAAACAGAAGTTATAAAGAACTGTTTATCCTAAACAGTTTTTTTTCTGAGCAAAGTTGGCTTCTGTTATGTTTAACATTTTTTCCTAATTTTACTACAATTTGCAAAGCAAGTGCAGACAGCACTTCTGTGTTTCTTCTGTTTTCATTAGTTGTGCTTTTGAGACCAAGTTAGTTTGACTGAAAAACTTGGTTAGAACAGGAAAACGGTTAATGTGAAATATCAATGCATGGATCCTTTTGGCATGGTCATCTTGAAATATCTTCCTTATGAAGTCATGAATTGGGATGAGGAGTGTAACATTAAAAACCTCATGCTACTGGGAAGAAGAATGGATCGGTTTCTTCAGAACCAAAGTAATCTCCCAGATCTGTGATCTTAGTTTTTCATGGAAGGTGAATTTGCTTTTGCTTCTGCACTGCAGGTGCCTCCAGTAAATGGATTTTGTATAAAAAGCTCAGAAAAGGGTGTGGAAATTTGTTGACTGGGAAGCATTTTAAGGGCGGAGCGGTGGCTCTGTGGCTAAGGATCTGCGCCTGTGGCTGGAAGGTTGCCATTCGAATCCCGTATCTGGCAGAGGAATCCTACTCTGTTGGGCTCCTAAGCAAGACCCTTAACCCCGACTGCTCCAGGGGTGCTGTATAAATGGCTGACCCTGCACTCTGACCCCAAGCTTCTCTCTCCCTGTCTGTGTGCCTGTGTGTCTCATGAAGAGCAAGCTGAGGTATGCGAAAAGAAATTCCTAATGCAAGAAATTGTATATAAAGTGATCTTAAAAGCTCAAGGAATAGCCTCCGGAATGGCTGAAGGTTGATCTGCAAGAAGTAGGCCTCGTGGGTTGGACTCTGGGTCATGGCACTAGCTTTGGGGGGGCTGGCCTCGCAGGGTGCTCGCAGGCTTGGGGCGCTGTTGGGGAGGGATGTGCCAGCCCTGAACTTGCAGCACAGAACGGTGGTGCCCGTGAGCTCTTAAAAGGCCAGTGGCTCAACGTCTGTGTGTTGTTTCTTGTTCCTTTAGCGATTACAGTAGTTTCTGTAATCCAGTACCTAGAGTTTAGAATTGTTTTTATTACACTGCTCTGTCATAATTCCTTTTGTTGGCTGAAAGACTTTTTCTTGTTTCCGAGTTTGTTTTCTTGTCTGTTAAATTTATTCCAGTCTCTTTGTGGTAAGGTCTAAAATGTATAAAATTTAACCAGTGTTTAACATTTTGAATCAATTATGCATTTCTGCCTCTAGATATGACTAGCATCATATTTAAAGGGCTAAAATTTCTTGGCCTTGCAAATTGATTACCTCGGTTTTATTGCTCACGTATTAATGCCTGAACTGGAGACTTAAGAAATTACTGCAGAAGTACAAGAACAAAGTAGAGAAAAAAAAAACTTCTGCAAACATCTTAACCATTTCACTGTTCATAGGCTATTGGGAAGACTTGTTTGTGTGTGTTGTTAATGGACAAGAGTCATTACTCACTTAAGTGATCAGATGTTTAAAAGTATAGCTTCACACTTGTTTAATCCTTCACCTTAACATGAATGTTTCACTAACCTTGAGTCTGTCTTAAACGCCGTTCTTGATTGTAAAAATAATGCTGTTAAGCTAATGGCTCAGAAGACTTGTGAAAAGCCCCTCGGCCCAAGTCTCCTTCTGTAGGCACCTCTGTATCTTGAATGCCCGGAGTCCACCAGAGTCACCAGAGATGAGACACCTTAAATAAAGGATTTCAGTGAGTCAATGAAGCAACATCTGAAAAAAGTCCTCTGTATTCACAACAAGTCAAATGCATTTATATGACGCTCTTAAAGACGAGCGTCTATTTTTTATCCAATGCATGCACAGGGCCACAGTGAAAAAGCATCCAGTGAAGTGAGCCAATCTGGTGATTTGAGCTGTACTAAACAGGTTTTTATCCGTTTTACCTGCAGGTCACATTTTAGTGGCAACAAGAATTGGAATCGGAATCTCTCCAGTCTTTAGTTCCTATAGATCATGGAAAAGAGAGGTTCTATATGGGTTTCAATAGCACCGTCATTTGCTCTTGTGAATGGTAGAGGCTTCAGAATTCGTTTTAAAGGTCACTAAAACCTTTGGTACCTTTCTCCAGTAGCAATAAATGGCACTCTTGTGTGTATACAAACCGATCCATTAAAGCAGCAGTCTTTATGCTTTTTCTAATCCTGGAATAAATTGCTGTTCTCAACAGCCTGTCAAACAGAGGGGTCAAATATGGTCATTATAAATACAGTACTTCATTCTCTGTTCCTGAGAAAGTCCAGATCAAACTTTACACAGGAAAAATTAAAATACCCTTAAAATGTAAATGACCTTTTCCTTCATTAAGTTATTCATTTCCTTATTTTAAATCGGACTTCCAGAATCAGCAGATCTGTGCAGCGCTGCCAAGTCATGCTGATTTTAAAACACATCCACTTTCACCATTCCCTCCTGCATCTGTTTCATGCCATCATGACTTAGTGACGTTTATTTGTGTTTTCTCAAACTTGGCATTACCATACCTCACCACATGCTGTGCTTATTAGACATGCACTGTGAGGAATCTGCATAGTAAAATTTAAATTATAATTTGGGATCGTATTCATTTTACTCCCTTAGGTTTTCTTATAATAGCATATCTCAAAGGCCCTTTCTGATCAGTAAAAATCTTTTATTAGAATACAAATCTATTTCCCAAGCATTCCTCTGTAAAGCAACTGTATGCCGTAGTTGCATAGATTGCTTTTTAAATTAATTTTCATGAGTTTTACACCATTTCCATTGCTGTGGTCAGATGCCTTCATTGTATTATTCTGAAATGCACTCGGGCCAGGTTCTTAGGAGCCTGATTCAAAAGAACAGGATACAGGATAAAGAAGGATACAGGGCATGAGCTGTTCAAGCCATCTTGCTGTTCAGTGTGAAAACATCTTGCTTTCCAATATTTTGGCCAGTGGGTTTAGCTACACAGTGCCTGCTACCATCCTGAAATACCTACAGCTGCAGTATTTTTAATGAACGATGACGTTAGAAACGATTTGAAATTACCATGTTGTGCAGGAACGGGGTGATCTGCCCTTGAAAAATCCAGGTTCTTAAACTTGGCTGTCCGTCCCGTTTCTTGTCAATGGATTAAAGTTTGAAAAACCGCATAAGGTTACCTCAGTATGTCCGGCTGCAGACTATATTGACACTGGATGAATTATATCTTAGTACGTGGTGTGCTCTGATCTTCAGAAACTGGTGCTGCTTTATAAGCCTGTCCTTGCCATACTTGTGTAATGGACAAATGTAAATTAAAGTAATTAAAATCGATGTTTTTTTAATCGTTATCGCATTAATCTATTACTTTCCTTATATCATAGGCCATTTTGTTCTGTAATACAGCTATGTAATATTTCATGATGTTGACTGGAATCGACAGTACCAATTCAACTGTGTTTTGAAAAATTCTAAATAAAATAATTTTAAGTAACATGAATTCCATCACTACTGAATTGCGTGTTTTTTTGTTTTTGTTTTTAAATCATTAAAGATTGGAATATGACGCTCGAAATCTAGTGTCTTTCCGTTTATAATAAACTGCCTCAGTTATGCAGTAAAGTATTTTACATCTTTAATCGGTTTGCGACTCAAAACAGTCCGCGCTCTGGATTTGCCAATGCATACGAGTTGCATACTCTAATGATACTCTTACCCCTCTTTTGGTAAAAAAAAAAGTAATTGCAACTACAGCACGTTACAAAAGTTGCGGGGCAGGTTTCTAGCGTGTGGTACATCCCTATACGTCCTTCGGATGAGACGTAAAACCGAGGTCCTGACTCTCTGTGGTCATTAAAAATCCCAGGGCG